GACGCTCAAGCCGAATAACGCCTGCCGTAACCTGATCTGGCCCCCGTGTTAGTGTATCGCATCGACCACGTGGGCCGCAGCTTCCTTGAACTACAGATTAAAACTGCGTTTTGTGTTGGGGGAACTGACCACCTCCTGTAGGTCTTTGGCGCAACTGCCAACTCATCAAGATGGCTACCGCCTTCTCAACATCCAACCACCCTGATACACAAGTCCTTCGAAGCGCTATCGACCAGTTACGATCTTCTGTGCATTTATTTATCTGGGAATTGTTTGTTTCTCAGGGGGTTGATGTTGGGTACAAGGTCTTCTTCAGTCGACTAGTCGGCACTTAGATGAGTTCTACGCGAGATTCCCTGCAGCTATCTACTTATATTTTTCGGTTCACCTTGATTTTATCAAGGGAATGATAGGCAGACGCCTTTGAGCTCCCTATTTATAACATAATGGCTAGGAAATTTATTGATACAGAAGAAAAAGTCGATAAAGACGTCGTTTACATGATTGCGGACGAGAAGCGAGCAGCTGTCTGGCCTTATAAAAATCGTGATTATATATGCCTACTCACTTAGCGTGAGTAGTCGCTGTAGTATTAATTGTCCTCCCGTCTAGGTAAGCGTGCGTCTCGTGAATGAGACGTTTGATGCATGTCCAGTTTGCTCTTAAATGAAATTTAATATCCTACTAAACTGTGCGTCTGGGACCGTTCTAATGCCTCATTCCACCCTCCTCCCGCCCCATCTCGTAGCTCTTTGTCAACGTGGTTAAGTACCGGTTGGATCAGATGCAACGGCGCCTGGATGCGGAACAACGCCAAAGCACAAGTCGGGCGCTCTTCAAATGTCTCAACTGCAACAGTAGCTACACCGATCTCGAAGTTGACCGGCTCTTCGATTTCACTGTGGGCAAGTTGGTGTGCGTGTACTGTCGAGCCGATGTACAGGAAGAGGAGGACAATGCCCAGCGGTCGGATGCTCGTGCTCTGGTTGCCAAGTTTCACCAACAAGTGAGTGGCATTTTCAGGCAGCAAAACGGCTCCAGTAGCCTCT